TTTTTTATGAATGCATAGCATAGCATTATATGACTTAAATAATTTAGTCAACCCATTCCCTTATTGATGGGCCTTTAGGTTATGGCTAATCTTTTTCTGTTCTGTATTCTGCTGCAATTAATAGCTTGGTACATAAATCTTTTAACAAACATATGGCAATAGCTGTTCAGGAATTTCTGGAGGAGAAAGCACAAAGTATGAGATGTATCACATAGGAGACTCAGAACATAGTTTCTAAACACTAGTCTCCATTCAAAGGAGTCAGGGTTCCTTGGCAAATGGCCAGTGCTGAGACAGAAGCTTGGATGAACTAAGAATCCATCAGAAGTCTCAGAGGACAGTGACCCAGGCCAAAGGCCACAGATGGGAGCTGCTGGGAGGCATAGCCACTGACCAAGCATGAAATAATCCAGTGATGAAATAAATAAGAAGAGAAATCAACACAGCATATCCAGGTGCAGTCACAGTCTCAGAATATCTCTCCCCAAGTGTTATTCATCATAGGACTGGAGAGATAGTACACAGGATAAGACACTTGCCTCAAATGTCGCCAAATCTGGTTCCATCCTCAGCACCACATATGACCTCCCATAGGTGATCCTGAGCACAGACCCAGGAATAAGCCCTGAGTACTGCCAGGTGGGGCAAAGAAAAATGAGTTATTGTGCACAGAGGTAAAAAATAGCCATGTGGTTCCCATAAGCCAATGATCAAAATAACCTGACTGGTGAGTAATGGCGCAAGTTACTTGAAGTTTGCTGACTGGCCTCATGTCTGTGGCGTTTGGGAAAAACCCTAACCCTGATCACAAGAAAACCCCCGAGACAGCCAAAGCGAGCACAGGTCCATGTAAGTCATTGATCAATGTACTTCAAAAATATCTGGGAAGACAAAAATGAGTGAAGGATCCATCTGGGTGAAGGGAGTCTCCATAGAGCTCACTTTAGTCAATCTTGATTATTCAGATTGGATTCAAGAAGAGGAAAAATGTATTTTCTTTTACTCTAAAAGACAGTGGTGGGGCAGTGAGCCAAATATGGATGAAATGAGTGATTAGATAATAGTGATGGCAGAAGGGGAAACAGAGCAAGACCCGAGTTCAGTCCCCAGCACCGCATGTAGTCCACTCTGTGGCTGTGGCCCTTATAAAAATACTTTTTGTTAAATTGTATTAGTTTCATGAGTGTTTATTTCTTGACTTGACAACTTTTCTAGCATTGAATAGAATATTTTTAGAAATTTTAAGTAGTATCTGTGTGTCTGTATAGATATAGATATACACATATATGTATGTGTATATATACATATATGTGTATATGTATATATACACATACATACTGGAGCGATAGCACAGCGGGTAGGGCATTCGCCTTATAAGCGGCCAACATGGCCAACCCAAGTTCAATTCCTCCGCCCCTCTCGGAGAGCCCGGCAAGCTACCGAGAGTATTCCATATGCCAGACACAGTAACAACAAAGTCTCCAATGGAGACGTTACTGGGCCCGCTTGAGCAAATCGACGATCAACGGGAGGGCCTTTACCTTTACCTTTACCTTGTATATATAAAGAAAGAAAACGAGGTGAAAAGAGTGAAAGAAAGAGATTGTGAATTTGGGAGGTGGTAGGACTTAGACCATCATCAGCAATGCTGGGGCAGAGATTGACAATTTTAATACAACATTTTTTAAAGTTAACATTTCACCAATCTGGGTCACGAGAATTCTTTTCACTATTTTTGCAATTTTGAGATCATTTTTAGGTGAAAAGAAAAAAATACATGTATTTGAAATTTTGATAGATTTTGACAAATTGCCTGCTATAGAAACTGTCCAAATATTCTCTCCCACCAGCAAAGTACAAAAGTGGCACTTGATATTTACAAAATATATTCACATTACACCAGAAGAATTTATTACTACTCCAAGAAATAGGCAAAGGTATTTTCTCCATTTTACATAACTGAACCTTCCAGAAGTGAAGACAATAAGAGTAGTGGTTAAGAACACAGGATTTTGAAGCAATAATTATATGCTATTTCACTCCAATCAGACTGCCAAACATTATAAAGTTTGAAAATACTGAACGTTGGCAAGGATGTAAAGAAAGGAAAACTCTCATAATCTGTTAGAGGGGGTGTAATTTAGTACAATCACTGGAGAGAGCAATTTGGCAATATTTAATAAAGTTGAAGATGAGTACATTCTGCAACCCAGAAATCCCATTTCTAGTTGGATAGCCTTGAAAAACACTCACATGTGTGCACAGACACACAACACAGAGCCTGGTTCCCAACAGGGTGATTCGTGGAGGTGAAAAATGGAACCATCCTGAGTGTGCCTAGAGGGAATGCATTGTACACAGTATGGCCTGTTGATTGCCGTATGTGAGCTAAAGGGAAACTAAAGAACTAGTTTGAAAGAAACTGCTGAAGAATGTGTGCCCTGTATGTGTGTATGTGAATATGCATATATATTTATTTTAAGCACAGTGATTTTTCAATACTGTTAATGGTAGGGCTTTATACACAAAATGTTCCAACACCGTATCTTCCACCAAAATGTCAACTTCCCTCCACCTGTTCCAGTGTCCCTCCCCCAGTGACACCCCCGCCATGGTAAACGTCCTACTAATGACCAATTGCCTTTGGACAATGGTCATTCCTTACTATAGTTTTTTTTATGTGCCACATATGAGAGAGGTTTTTCTGTATCTGTTCCTCTACTTCTGGTTGACATCACCCAGCATCAATATGCATATATTTAAGAAAAGCAGACACACTTTCCCAAAGAGGGTGTGGCACAGCATCTGTAGATTGGTTCTTTGGGGAATAGAAGGTGAGAAGAACAGGACTGGGGAAAGTCTAAAGAGGGATTCAGCTGTGTTCATAATGTTCTATTGCCAAAGTAATAGTAAACTGATATAAAATTTAGCATTTCTTCAGTTGTGATGTTCAGGTCATAGGTGTTAATTCATTCATTTTCTGTGCTTGTCTGGATGTTTAAAGCTTGATGGAGACAATGAAAAGTTTGGGGAATTACAACAAGTTTTTTTTTAATTTTTTTAATTTTATAAGTTACTTCACAATATTTAATTACATTCAATATTCAAACACCAATCCCACCACCATTACACCTTCCCACCACCAAATATGGGGTGTTTCAATCTCAAGCCCCAACCTCTGTCCCAAAACACAAATGAAATAATATATTTTATATTGTCTGTTATGAAGAACTGCTGAGCATACTTACAAAAAAGTGTTCATATAAATAACAGTGTGAAGATTGTTCTATTTTGGCAGGAGCCATTAAGACATTCTATAGGATATCACTAACATGTTGTTATGGTTTGGGTGATGTGAGCTTTGGTATATATGTCTGAAAATATGTATATATGTATTGTCACTGTCACTGTCCTCCCGTTATTCATCGATTTTGCTCGAGCGGGCCCAGTAACGTCTCCATTTTGAGACTTGTTGTTATTGTGTTTGGCATATTGAGCACGTCAATATGCCAGGCTTTGCCATGCGGGCGAGATACTCCTGGTAGCTTGCTGGGCTCTCCAAGAGGGGCGGAAGAATCGAACTCAGCTCGGCCGGGCTGGCTGCGTGCAAGACAAACGCCTTACTGCTGTGCTATCGCTCCAGCCCCAGTACATATACATATATATATATATATATATATATATATATATCCTCTATGATTTGTTGCCTACTGTCTAAACCCTATCAAATATGATGTAATTATGGAAAATGGGAAGGGAGTGTCCTATGATGTGTTTCTGTAGCCATGCAGTCCAGGAATATGTTCACTCATATGTGAAGCTCAGCCCGAGCGTGTGGAAAGCGGCCTGGAGCATGGCGGTGCTTGGGTTGTGAAGGTCGGCTGCCAGGGCTGGTCCCTTGGGGTGGGGAAGGATCTCACCCTCCCCCCCTCTGGGGATACCCCGAGTGAAAACAGCCTGGCGCGGAGACTGGTGGCATGATTATGGAGGCCTCATTCTATGCTCCCTTTCGGAAGAAGCAGCCTTGAGTTCTGGAGGGTGGCTGATGAGGAGATTATCTGGTGCTGGCAGGAGGTGGCTTATGGATATGACCCCTGGGTCGCTGGAGACTGGGGGAAACCGGCAGAGGATCTCTGCTCCCAGGTCCCATAATTACAACAAGTTTTGATATCAAATCCTATTCATATTTCTTTCAGCCCTTGCTAGTTGTAAAATATTAGGTCAAAGGGACCTTAAACATCTCTAGATCTCATTTTTTCTACATGCAAAGTAGCTTCTCATTGGGTAAAATTTAACACGTTACATAGCAAAACAACTGCCTGGCCTATAAGTCTTCATAAAGACAACTTTTTTGTGTGTGGTGGGAGGTGAGTTGGGGGGTTGGACAATACTCAGTGGTGTTCAGGGCTTATTCCTGGCTCTATGCTCAGAAATCCTCCTGGCAGGGCTTGGGGGACTATATGCACTGCCAAGGATTGAACCAGGATTGCCTGGCTAGACTGCAAGTGCTTTGACCCCTGGCCTATCTCTCTGGCCCCCATAAATATTTCTTGAACAGATGAATGAGCCCATCCCTGAGCACAACCTCTTAAACTGTGAAGATCTAGTCAGTATTCTTGACATGACTTCTCTGATTTCCCATTCATTTGAAATAAGGGACTACTCAGTTTCACTTTCTTATAGAGAGAACCAACAATCAAATGAGTCAGAAGTCTATCTCCAAGGATCTTTGAGTTAATCTTAGAATTAAGATTAAGACTTAGAATTAAGTCTTCCTTGTCAAGCCCCTCTGGAATTTGCTGAAACACCAAATTGTGCGGCTTACCCTGATCACAGCCACATGGAGTAGCGGACAGACTGAAAGATGAAGAGCATAATGGTGATGCTGAAATGTGGATTTGATTCTAGTGCAGCTCGTGGGAGGCACTCGTTATTGCTTTCATGCCACATAAGGGATACATGCAGTTTCTCACAACTGCTGGTTTTTTGCTTTCTCACAGACACTAATTTGGGGAGCCCAGACATTGTGGGTGTTTGGAGGACAGCTTTGAGTCCCTGTGTTCATCTTCTCCACCACCAATTTTTAGAGAAGGTAAGTTCTGCTTCTCTCTCAACTCACTTTCTCTAAACTCTGGCAACACTGATGCTGCCCACCATGTTTCGAAGACTATAGAAATTGCTGGAATGGTCCAGATGTGCTCTCGTTTCTATGCATGTGAATTTATGTCCAACAGGACCTGCTGGAGAGAATAATCTCTAAAAACAAACAGTAGAGTGAGTATTCAGAAGCTGCCATTAGATTTTGCTTCTGCTCTGAACTGTTTCCTTATTAACTGGTGGGAGTGACATAGAGAAAGTTTCATAAACTCTCAATTCCTTTATCTGCAAAAAAAGAGAAATTTGGACTGGAATGCTGGGAGGAGATTTCCCTAGTTCTTATTCAGTTTCCCCATGAAGGTTGCAAAGTATTGATTGAAAGCAGTGACTTCCAGTAAAGCCATCCAGGTGCTCCAATCCCTAGAGTGCTGGTTAAGTGGACATCCCAGATCTTCCAATGCAGAAACCTGTCCCTTTAGCGAACTCCCCAGGTGAACCGCATGCAGAGCCATATTTGGGGACCAGAGACATGACCGCTGGAAACCTCAATATGTGTGATGTATGCATTCAATTCTGGGAGATGTGATGCATTGGTTGGAGGCCAGACCGAAATAGCTGGAGGTACCTTGTATTCAAGGAAAACATAACAAGACCTGGCATCTGATGGCTGTTTTGCCTTTCATTTCTTGGTGGTGCGCCCACCCCTTTGGCAGAATCTTCCACTCAACACTTCTTAGAGCAGAGCTCTGTGTCCTGGGTAGGTTTCCTGGCTCTCATTCTCTTGGCTGCAATTGAATGAGAGTGAAATGCTTTTGAAGAAATAACCCCTGAAGGATAACATCCCTTCCTCAAGTGGACCCTGTATGTATCTTGCCAGTCACCATTGCCTGCAGACACACAATTGGTTTTGCAATCAGTCTTTGGCTGTGGAGGTTTGAGGCTTTTCTCCTAAGCATGTCAACAGTTTGAAATGACAAGAGAGTGAAGGTAAATCATGTTTGCATGTAGGACCAAGACGGCTGCCTCTTGGGAAAAGGTGCAGTGCTGGCACTCCCTCATGGGGAAGCTGCAGCCTATGCTCAGAGTCCACACTCCAAAACAGAAAGGTTTGCAGACCGTGGCGGGTCTAGATTCTGTTGCCTTGATGGATGTGCAAGCTGTCTGGGCTCTGTGCATAAACCATCAAGGAATCCCAGGCACCCCTAAAGAGACTGCCGTCTTAAATCCTGGCTTTGAAATACAAATAGGGTCTCCCAGTATCTCATACAGAGACTCCCCGCCTGGATCAGTCTAATTGCTCAGCAGGGCGACTGTTGCTCTTCCCTAGAGCTTCAGCAGATATTAGTTCCTGGCATCAAATAAAGGGGATTGGAGCTTTAAGGGCATAGTGTCACCATTGTCTGCTGTGGTTGGGGTAGGGTAAGATATAAAAGTCTCCTCCCAAGTCATGGGCAGGGCATGGAGTATGGCGTGTCGGATAAAGTGGTTCCTGTGGGAACCACTCGCCCATGAAGTGAGTTCCGGATAGCACCCACTTCTGGCCTGGTATGGATATAGACTTGATTTGATTTGGGGTTGATTTATTTGTTTGCCTTGCTTCTCGAACAGCATGACTTGGATTTAATGTCTCAAATACTGAATCCAATACTTCTAGGTTCACTGACTTGTTGTTATTTAGCATTTATGAAGTATATGTCAATGCACTTGGCGCTTTACAATGACTCATAAAAAGGCATGATCCTGGCCATTGAGCAGAAGGGTGCTCTCAGTTGAATTACTGCCGAGGTGGGAATGATCACGGGACAGATTGGTACCTCTTTACCCGCCCTAAATAGTTACATATCCTGGTTCCTCATTGCATCTAAGCCCAACAGAGGTTTGGCAGACTCAAATACCATTTGGATGTCAGTATACTAATATAACAGACTCAAATCATGATTCTTGACATTTTACAGTAACAGGTAGCAAATTGGATGGAAGGATGGATGGATGGATGGACAGACATACATCTGTCATTAGAGACATCTGTCATTTTCTTTTTTTCTTCCATCTTTACTTATGAATCTTGTAAAACCTTGTGGTTGTAGAGATGACTTACTTAGAAGGCATCTCTGCCTCTGTCTCTGTCTCTCTGTCTCTGTCTGTCTCTGTCTCTATATATCTCTTTCTCACTCTCTCTCTCGTTAGGACTTTGGGATCACATCAGTGGTGCTTGGAGCTACTCCTGAGTCTGTGCTCAAGAGTTTTTCCTGACTGTGCTGGGACATATGGAAGGGCAACCATGCAGTGCCAGGGATCAGATTGGAGTTAGTCACATGAAAGGGAGGTGTCTTCACCTCTACCCTATCTCTCTGGCTCCATCTTAAGTGAGATTTTGCAGTGAAGATGAGATCAGGGTATCTACAAGGCAAGCAGAAACATAATGAGAAACTGATGACACAGAATCGCCAGGACTTATTAACAGTGACATGTCAGTGTCCCTTTCCTGGCCTTCATGAGATAAGATGCTAATATGGGACGGAGATGGGGGTGATGGGTACAGGGAAATCCCTCCTCTGCTGTGCAGCTTCCTGTGAGCCTAGATTTATTTCAGAAAAGAATCCCTCACCCTTCACCCTTCACATTTTGGTATCATAGCGCCCTTTCTGCTCCTTCCGGTCATGGGCCTTACAGTCATCCCAGGATTCCAGGCATCAGTTCAGAACTTCCAGGGGGTGGAAAAAATAGCAGCCCAAACAGAATCAGAGAGGCCAGAAATTCATAGGGACACACCTGGAAAGCAGAGTTGGGTGGAGGGCGCACAGAGAGGGCAATTGCCAGGCCATCGAAGCCCCTGTAAAGAAAGGCGGGGAGCATGCACTGAAGAAGAAGCACAGACAGACCTCAGTCCAGAGAAAAATCTCTGCAAAGCCAGTGAGGATTTGAGCGCCATGCGCATGTTGCTGAGGAGTGGGACAGCCCAGCCCAGCCCCTGGCCACATCTGTCATTTGGCACAATGGCAGCCTGGCCTGGAACAAATTGGGTGGATTCAAGGGGTCAAGACAACTGGAGGCCATCCATCAGTCCTGCTTCCGGGCCAGTGTCTCCTGCAGGGACAGTGGGGTACAGGCACTCCCAAGCCTCCATAAGGGACAGGGCTGTGCCTGTGGTCCTCTTGCCTTCCTATTCAGCCTTTTGGAACCATCCACCCCGTTCCTCTGTGGGACTCATCTTCTACTTCGCCACCCAGAATGAATGTCCCACTCTGCACTTGTCCTACCTCTGCTCCCTACCAGGGGCAGTTAACAGAGTCCCAGACAGAGCCCAGGGATGCCCCAGCACGTCTTCCTCAGCCGTGTGGCCAACCCTGACCCTTGGTGTCTTTCACTCTCCCCTCCTGTTAGTTGCAAACTGTCCCTCACCTTGTTCATCAGAGCGCCCCCATTCTGCCTCCCAAGTGGCTTTTTCCTGAGAGCACTCCTAAATACCTCTCCTTCCTCCCATGTCCACTTTGCTTCACACTTTCTCCCTTCCTAAGTAGTAGAAAAAGAAGATCCTTCTAACCCCCTAACATCTCAGCTCCCGTGGACTCTCACTGGCTCTCTGGCCTTCAACTGCCCCTTTCTAGGGGGTCACTTCTCCCTTCTCATGGGCATTTGCTCTCTGCTCCTCTCAGCCCTTCCGTTGGCCCATGAACACCAGTTTTTTTCTTCTTAATCGGGCCCCCATACTGCAACCCTCTGAGCTTTTGTGTCTCTCCTTTCTTCCTCAGGAAATCTCTAGGAGAAGTTTCTAGCCCTCCCACCTCCTTCTCATGACTCCCTGCACCCTCACCCTGGGATGAGACTGCATCTTGAGGGACAGTCCTTATGCCTGTCCCACCAATCCAGCCTGAATGTGGGGGTCCGGGACCTTTAGTCAAGCCCATCACTCCTCCCTCCTCCAGGGTTTTCTGCCCCAGGCTTCTGAGCTTGCTGCGCTCAGCTCTCTCCCCACCTCCCCACCTTCACTCACCTCCCTTCTCATCTCACCTCCTCACTCACTTCTCACTTCACCTCCTCACGTCGCTTCTCACCATCAGAGCAGTAGTGGTACCTCCAGATTCCGCTCCCATCACTCTAAGGGGTACTCTCTGTTCTTGTGCACTCCTGCCCTGTCGTCTGTGCCTTTTCCTGCTCCACAGAAGCTCTGGGTTGCTGCCCTGCAATACCCTGCTTAGGCCACACACACACACAAACACACACCCCTCAGGACATACCCCGCATCATCTCCCTCTGCCCCCCTTCTGTTCGCCACCTTCCTATCTCCTCCCCAAGGAGACCCTGCTCTGTGGGGCATTCAGGCTGAATTTGCAGTCAGGTGACCCTTCACAGCCATTCCACCAGCTCTGTTCCTGGGATCTCCACTCTACCTCCAGTGCTCAGGGGCACATGTGGAATGCTGTAAATGACCCCATATTGCCCCATATTTTTCCATGGAGGCCATAATAGTCAATGGTGGCAGTTTTCGTTATGTCCCTTTTGTACTCAGAGACCTTGATGGGACTACCTGGTGCCACTTCTTCCTGCCCAGAGGCAGGGAGCCAGGACTCGCTGTCCAAGTAGCTTTCCTTAGCACTGAGCACTCATTGGTTAGAAAACAGTGCCTTCTCACTCCCCCTCACAGATCTCCACCCCCCCAAAAGAAAGACAGAAGGGTTTGTATGCGTGTTTGTGTGTGTATGCACATGGGTGCATGCATACATGCTTGCATGTGACTATCTGACTCATATCTTGAACCTCATTGTAATCCCCAGACAAGACATGAATTGATAGCTTTCTGTTCAGAGATTCCTTCTCAACTCTTGCAGAGGGTCAGAGTAGCAGGACTTCGATCAATGCTCGGGGGTGGGGTCTGGGTTCAAATCTGTGAAGCCAGAAAGAGGAGATTGTCTTACAGAGCCCTTGTCTCCTGCTCTAAGGAGCTGCCGACAAGGAAGATGTGCCTGGGGGTGATTCTGGCTGGCTGGTGGAGGG